CTGAGGTGTGCAGACGGCTGCCACTGGCATGGGTCCTTGATAGCGCACACAAGAATCTGCCTAGTCACCCAGGCAACGCGTGTATATTGAGCCTAACATAACTGACCTTGCACTTTGCATTCGCTTATTAAACGTCTACTGCATAGAGTTTGTTGAGATTTGCAACCTTTTCCACAAAAATTGGTGTTTCTTCTCTTGCTAATGTTCTCGTATCACGTAACTGCTACTTAGGTCATTCTCAGGAGATTGCCTCAGTCATGATATAAGCGATCACGATCACTTCTCAAATAAAACTAACCTCACATTTTAACCACAGCCAAACAAGTGGGTGTAAAATCTGTAAAATTCCTCACTTTTGTTGTAGCCGGTTTAGTCAAGATGAAAGAGCTTGCTTACTACGCTATGGAACTCATTTTGATACACACTTGGAAAAACATAAATCTTCATGGATCTTGTAAGGGAAAAAAAGATTTTTGGGCTTATCCTCCTGAGTTGAATAGTGAAACAGACATATTGATGTTACTTTTGGAAAAGACATAGTGTCTCTACATCTTGTATCTTTTAGACAATCAAGTATAAGTAGTGCTTCAAATTAACAACGCTAACATTCTCACTGTATGGAGTCCGTGGACAAAACACTTTCATCCACGCAGCACCTACTTGAAGCTATAGAACAGGTAGCTTTGATTTTTTATCAATTATGTTTACAACTGCCTATATTCTTTGCAATTGCAGGACGATGCTTTACTCGATGACGAATACTTTATGCGAAAATTAGAATATTTGCGAATGAAACACAAGGAGACCAGCGATTTTCTTGCACGAATACTGCAGCAGGAGGAATGTTTGCCTCCATCGACCTCAACGTGCACTTGCGGTGGAGGCCATTTTGCCCTTCCAAGTGAATGGTCATTTTGTGGAAGTGTATCGGCAAAAATTGTTACGAAAAACGGCACAGAGCGTGCTCATTCAACAAAATCTTTAACGAGGAAAAAGCAGCAAGCAATGGCAAGGGCTGCCTTGGAAGCGTACAGCTCCATGGAAAAGAAAGTGGAAGAGAAAAGGTGAAATCTTTTCTGGTGCTCTACTGAATAATGTCTGATCCTCGTGTATCTTTGAAGCACTTTATCCAGACTTATTCTGGGACCGCACAATCAATTACGCTTGAAAGAACGAACTTGCATTGTGACAATTAACATCACTTCGTGCACTCCTGATTTTATATTAGCAAACTTGGAATTCTCTTCATACGATCATTGCGTTTGCCCCTAGTGCGCAACTGTCACTCCGATGCATTCCGAAAACTCACAG